TTGTAACATTGGCGGGCAAAAAAATTAAAAGTAATGCAGATCTGAGTTTCCCTACTATGGAAGTAATTGTTGCATAGCCTCAGTCTAATGGCCCAGACCATTCTTGTTCGTGGTGAACGCACGATACTTCACACGTGTTGAAGCGGTTCGCTATAAAACATTCGTTATGACGTGTTTCGAGACCTATTCCAACGGAGAGCTACAACCAGTTCTTCACACAGTTCCTCCTTCAAATTCGTACATTTTCCTGAAAGTCGCAAAGCATTTGAGTTCCGATCGTTGTCAAGTACACTTCTTCGCTATTCATTGAAGCTGTGGAGAGACAATTCCAAACATGCATGTGCCTCTACTCGGTGGAGGGTACTCGTCGAGTCCCTCATCAAAGTAAGAAAGAGGAAATTGTTCAGTTGGGGCATAAATCATTAAGTTGTCCGGAAAGTTTTTTGAGCGTTTCACTTTAAACGATCATAACTTTCTTAATACTCATCGGATTCAATCGAAACAAGCACCGTTCGAATCAGCACACTTTTGCCAATGTGACACCAGTCGAGAAATCCCATCAAAGGAAAAACTGGGTGGTCGAGAATCTACGAAATCCACGAAGGCTTTTGCCTGGTCCTGATTGATGAAGTATTTTCCAGCAAGGAAGTTCTGAAAATGTTAAGGTGATAGTCGGTTGGTGAAAGGTCTGGAGAATATGGCGGGTGAGGTAGAACTTCAACCCAATTCGTTCAATTTATGGATAGTGATTTGTGAAACGTGTGGGCGGGCGTTGTCATGCAGAAGAATCGGACCCTTTCTGTTGACAAGTGCTGGCTGCAGCTGACGCAATTTTCGGTACATTTCGTCGATTTCTTCACAGTAGGACTCTGCTGTGATGGTTTGGCCTGGTGACAAAAAGTTATAGTGGATCACACCAGCCGATGACCACCACACTGTGACCATAACCTTTTTGTCGTGAGGATTCGGCTTTGGAAATTGCCTCAGGGGTCCGCCGGCATCCAACCACTGTCCGAAACGTCTCCTGTTATCATACATGATCTCCTTTTCATCACACGTGACAATTCGGTCCAAAAGCGAGTCGTTTCTGTTGTGCAAAAGCAGTGAAGAAGAAACCTCGAGACGTGCCAATTTCTGCCGGTCACTCAAATTGTGGGGCACCCACTTGTCGAGTTTTTTCACCTTCCCAATGCTTTTCAGACCATCCGCAACAGTGGATTTGCCAACGCCTAGCTTTTCTGCAATCTCTCGAACTGTTTGGGATGGGTCAGCCTCCACAAACGCCTTCAAATCTTCGTCAGGTATTGCTTTAGGTCGACCGCTACGAGGTTCATCTTCAAGGCTGAAATCTCCAGAACGAAATTTGTCGAACCATTGTCGCACGGTGCTTTCTCTATGGGCCCCCACACCTGGTTAATTTGTCGAGCTGTCTCGACTGCGGATTGACCCAATTTGTAGTTGAAGAAAATATCGTCCGAAGTTGCTCTTTTGACATGCTTGAAAAACTCTTGAAAAAGGGGGTCAATCAAGCAATGGTGAAACGGCAATTATACCATCAGATAGCGCAAAGAATTCTCTTCAGGATGTACTACTGAGACGCAAGGGAGAATGAGTTTTTAATCAGCAATGAATGTACAAAAAATAGTAACACAAAACGCTGAGAACTTTCCGGAAAACCTGATAGTTCTAGGGTCGTGAGAGTTAAAGAGCGAATCGCTAACCATAAGTATGCTCAGTGATTGTTTTCAAAATATGTATAGAAGGAGCCATGTTCACGTCGTTCACATGTGATATTTCCGCAAACAAACCGACCTTGTTATAAAACCAGTTCCTCGTCCTTTTTTGATACACTCAGCAGTGAATCCTCCGGGCATGCTGAGTCCTTCACTCACAAATAAGGTTGGAATGAGCACCTCGTCAACACCCATTACCTAAAAGTATTACATCTATAGCTGGTATGGAGCTCATCCTGCCCTACAGACGGTAGAGAGTGTGTAGTCACAGAAGCTGAATCTAACTAGAATCATTTTTCATTTCACCGACCAAGAGAGCTACGGAAATAGCACGTACACATAATACCTTGCGGTCAAGTTGTTCAAATGTTTTAGTGAGATCTATTGTGTTCACCATCCAGTCGACGGCAGCACGTGACAGCGAAGCATGCACTGCACCTCGAGCAAACGTGAGTGATGCGCTCAATTGAGATGGTGTCATTTGACTTGCTGAAACAATCAACGTTTCAGATGCAAGCTCAGTGAGCTTGGAAAGCAAATTAGCAATTTTGCATGATTGTACCAAGGTATCAGTGAGAGACTGTGTTGCAAGATGACAAAGCGACCTCTAAACTTTCCGAAGGATCACTTTCGAATGTTTCTGAAATGCGATGTGTTCAAGTGAGTTGGGGTCGTTCCCCCTCTAGATAATTCCTCAGATTCCTCGCAGCGAGTTCAAGAGGTTGCAGAAAGCAGTACATGGATTTATTCGATTGCTCGGAATTTCTGCGAAACCAAGCCTAGCCATGGATATTAGTGCTGGACAGCTATTTTTGCTGTAGCAAGTAATCATTGTAGGAGAATAGTTCAAACCTTTCTCGTGTTTTAGCGATTTAAGCATCATACTATTTCTAAACGTTTGAATTATTCGTTTGTCCCATAACAGAACCGCCCACCGTTTCGATAGAACTTCAGCGAACGAACGTCCCATTTCAGGCGGTGATCATAGCGTCTCCTTTCGCATGGTCTTGCGTGCACGTCGTTCGCACCCCCTAGTGCTTGTAATATAGAAACGGTTTCATATACATCTTTGATCATGACGTCGTAATTCTGAATTTTGATGGTAATACCTTACACTGTTAGAAATTGCAAACCTGCAATTCTATTACAGTGTGTCAAAAATCCGAAAATAGGACCTGCATGAGCATCGCATACCCCCAACGTTTGTCTACCATCAGTGCCTTCATGCATTCGTAATGTGCACGAGTCCCATTGATTCCTTCCCTTCCAATGCTGAAACGCTCTGAAAAAAAGTCTATCACCGCAGAACATCTCGCACTATGTAGCAAGTATAGTTGTGTTTTATGTTGTCAACTCGGTTCACTGCACTCTTCGTGAATCTCTTTGGCTACTAGTCTATGGCCATAACTATGATCTACATCAGCATCAAAAGCTGAGTGAATTTGGCCGAAAGAAGCGTCAAAAATTACGAGTTCCATCTTCTATAACAGGAACCAGGTGAAGAAGAACATGAGGAACCTGTGAACTTCTCTTAAGGCATCGCTGATATAAAACAATTCCATCACTAAAATGCGTAGGCAAGATAACTACGTATGTAGCGTGAGTTTGCCAACAGGAGAGAGGAGCGTGCTCTTCAGTAGGCAATGCCTTATGCTGGGAAAACGCGCTCAAAGCGACTAAGGAAGGCTCGACATCCTCCAGATCCCTTCATCTGGTGGGTGGCCGTCGTCGAGTAGCCATCCCAACCTGTCATGGTGTGGCATGACGAGTGCATGCTTGCAATGCGGAGTAACGCAAGGGGAATCGACTAATCACGTATCCCACACATGAGCTCAACCTGCAAAATCTAATTTTGCCCAAAGAGTTCGCGTCATTCCTAGCCGATGTATTGTCCTAGCCGGTGCTAAATAGAGCTCGTTGTGAGATTTCACATTTAAATTTGGCGCTACTTGTTCGGGTATCGATTTGCACTCTTACTTCCTCGTTCTACTTTGTTTTGAGCACTGGGTGACATACCGTTTTTTGTTAGGACATCCAGTAAGTGTGCACGTGAAGCAACGCTAATTCAGGTTCTGCATGCATAGCATAATAGCAAAGCACGTTATTTTGATATATATTCTACGAAAAATCTAATTCGAGAACCCATTTTATCCGATGGCTATCGATAAAAAAAGATCACAAAGTAGCAGAATTTGTAGGGCAGTCATTTTAGAGCAGCTCAGTACAGTAAATCGATGCAGTAGTCAGAAAGCAAATAAAAATTCATTCTTCTGTTTCAAGTAGTGGGCTTTTGTTGCAGGCTTTTTCATATGCTTTAAGCTCTGAGCCTCTACCAATTCCGTCTTTTCACTGCGAAAATATCGTGATTTCGTCGCATTGATCATTCATATGATGCGAACTGTGAACGATCCCTATCTTCAGCAACCTCGTATACCCCTAATCAGATCCAGGAAGTGTGACCCCATTTTTTGCTCGTCTGACGCACAATTGTCTACGTGGAACTAATATGCTGTATTGGCTGTATCAGCATAGCCTCTATGAACCACTCCTGCGTTCAGAAGTTTTTTTTGGAATTTCGTTTTTCATTTACTGAAACCTCTTAAACCAAGTTCGAGACAACTAATCCAGATCGACATACCCAATTCTCAATGAGTCGGTTGCCTGAGACTTATGTACATCTTGAACGGTCGTCAAGAGCAAAATTCAAAGATTAGTTCCAAACAAACTTTTAGGCACTACGACGTTAGGAAGACATTTGGCGAGCGTCTCAATCCTTTCTGTGAACCCCTTTTCTGCTTTGTGATCGATGGCGTAGCAGAAGATGTTCTGTGGATGATAGCTCGACCTGAGTTCATCCTCGATGAATTCGTAACTCTGAAGTAAACGTGCAAAAACATTCCCAAGGAGCATTGTAGTGTTTAAACGAAGTCGTTCAACGGCACCTCGTACACGATTCGAGCATGAGCTATCCCAAACTGTAGTTGCTTGAGGGGCTTCGGAGGGAGAACTCGAGCACGAACATCCTCGCACTTCATAGGTAGGTTTTGATCAGAAAGTGTTGGCCGTGAAGCTGCTATGCGCTTCGCGTAATCGCCCTTCTGAAAAATGGCTTAGAAAAGACTGCCAATATCCTGTGAGCATTAGTAACCTGATCGCCTTTTAGAAGTCTGCCACAGTCAATGTGCGCAGTTTGTACTTTTCGATAGAAGTGTATCACATCCGGCGGCTCGTGGCGTCGACCCTAGAAAAACAATAATTGCTCTGGTATTCATGGGTCTAGAAGTGCTGGAGCAGTTGATTTCTCTTTTTGTTAGTATTAGGCATATAAAAGTCGCAAATACCATTACTAGGTGTCTGCACTGGCTGCACTATAGAAAGAACTCTGATTTAGACTCTGAGGCCAATCATGTCATTTGTCTCTACGGGCCGAGAAGTCGATTTTGGTCATGGAAGGAGAAATCTGTATTGGTCAAATTGCTGTCGATATTCTCTGGCCTGTATTAGGAGATAATGTGTGACACATCCTTGCAAGAAACAGATAACGCAAAAAATGCTTCAATGGCTCTCTTTCTGTGCCATTATTGACCAGACGAACACTGCTTGTCTTTCAATATACTTCTTCATTCCATTGCATAGTCGGCTTATATACATACTGGTATTCAAACTATTCGTTTGTTATTGGCTCTTATACGCCTCCATAGCGAATAACCCTAAGCAGTCACTCACTTTCTGCGAAAGCTTTAGAATTTCAGTGGTTGAATCAGTTTTGATTCTACTGTTGTCGAGTGCAACGTCTTCACTCACTGGAGGTCCGCCCTTTGGTACTTGAGGTACAGTGATAGCAGTTCAATATTGAGAAATATAAAGAAGCGAAGCAGAAACTGATTCTTATCAGCCCTTATCAGTCGCTATATCATAGCTGAAAGATCACCATCGAGGCTCCCGCTCCACCCTTATATTACGTGCTGGAGTCAACGTTTCGCTCTTACTCTTACGCTCACTATTAGTTCCGCAGCGCTTAGTTTCCAGCGCCTTTCCAGTTGGTATCACTTTGTTTCATCGTATATACATCAGGTCGTCCCATTTAGAAGTGCGGAGGATTTTGCTCACATGAAACGAACAGGAAACCAGACGAAAAATAATGTTTTGGCTTCACGTTGAGTAGACCCCTTTTTATTGACCAGCTTCCAGTGCCTGAAAGCGTTTGGACCTCTGTTTTTTCAGTGAGGGCGACTAAATAGCTGTTGATGCCAACTTCGGCGAGTGACAAAGCATTGTAGCGTGCCGTCGGACTTGACTGACCAGAACACTTGAAATAGAACGGCTTCATGTTGGGCGAATGAGGCGATTGAACCAAGGTCTCAGTATTGTTTGTATCCCAGTACTGCCCTATAATACAGTTACCCGGAGTCTGCCACTACGGCGAGCAATGGTGGTTTTCTCGTAGTCGTGGTACCACTCATTGTCGACCTCACTGTTGAAGAGTAGGCAATTTACGTCAACTGTGACGATTTCGTGTTTTGTGAAGAGCCGGTTGAAAGCCACAGTGTAAAAATCCTTCGCTATGATGATCATCCACTTGCGCCCACGTAACTCCTCATGGTAGAACTCGGGCGGCTTCTCATCTGCATTCATACAAAATTGACGCTGTGAGTTATGGCTCGGAGTTCAAGACCACCCATGTTTCTGCCAGGGTCGGGTTTCAGAGTCGTGAATGACATCTTACAAAGAACATTACTGCTATAGGCATAAAAACGGTACTGCTTCAAAGCTTCTACAAGGAAAATTAGGTACCCATACGCACACCCTCTTGACCATCCTCAATTTATCGGACATAACTCGGCAACACTTGCAGGGATGTCAGCCTCGCGGGGTAGTTCAACAAGGGTCCAGCCCCTGTGTTCGGACCTTCAGCGCTTGACCTCATCAACCGTTCCTTCTTGCGCAGGATGAGCATTATGATAACACCCACGGTTACAAGTTTTTTCCTTTCTTCCTTGTTCGGCTCTTGAACCAGATCTCCAACTTTGCATTTTGAGAACATCATTACAAGAAATAATGGTCTGGCACGGATCGAATTCAACCAGCGCACTTCCCTCTTGTGCCGTCTGATTCGAAAATCGAGATGATTTTCACCACTCGGGCTTCTTTTCAATTTCTCGAGAACTTCTGGGGGTAGGTTCGCCAAATTTCACAGATACATAGCTAAAGGTACTAGCTTCCAAATGGTATAGTAGCCCGCTGCTCTATCCCCTTTGCTTTTCTGCCATTCCTCTATATGTCTCCGGCACTTTTGAATGGGATGAACCAATAGTAAAGTTATACTAATGTTTATATCACCGCGGCCTGTCAGATCGCAGTCGACGGTTCCCACTTGCGGCATTGCCACCAGTGGCCCAAACTATATAGTAAAATCGCTACTCTATATACTACTTATAATAAAATCTTCTTGTCCGTCATTAGTATCATCTAAAGTTGAGATAGCGCTTTCTTTTGAGCAAATAATCATCGCTTTTCCAATTTCCTTACCATTTTATCAGCTTTCAAAACATAGCGATCTGGGAGTGCTTTTGCCGGTATGTAGTGACCTTGGGGTCTTGCTTCTGATGTGACGGTTTCGCTCTTGACTTCTTTGAAATCTGCAATCTTTGAAACTTTTAATTGGCATGGTTTATAAATTGAGTTCATATAGTCTGTCCTAGCTACTGATCAACGCTGCGTGAAAAAGGGTCGGCATTTCACTAGTCCATGTTTCGATGACCAACAAAATGACTGCAATACTATGATCACAATGTAGACAATAAGGCAGATACTCTGCTCTCTCGGAACGGAGCCAAGCGAAGGAACCTCACAAATATGATCCGAAACGGTAATAAAGGGTACCTCTGTTATTCCTTAGCTTGTTCACGGTTGCGAGGATACACTCCTCAACCATTACCGGCGTACAAGACATAGCTATCGCAATGCAACCTTGCAGTATAATTCGAATACATTCTTCAGATGATGGCCCCATTCTTCTCAAGGCTGCAGCTTAGGGCCGGGTAGCTTTAGTTCACCATTTCTGTGGGAGGTAGCTCCAAACTCGATGCTATGAGTGCTACTTACACGTGCTAGGTAACATAAAAACGGCGCTTTCCGGTCAAATGAACCAAATAGTGCTCAGCGACCTTGTAATTGCCATCTTATCGCAAGCCCTGAATGCGTGCTACTAATGTGGTTTATACTATTTCAACATTACAAGAGTATGATTCTCAGCAAAGCGAGTTTTGTTGCTGATTCCACTAAAGGAACACCCCAGTGATCCTTTTGTGGTCGATAATGGTTAAATCAAGACTTCATCACAATGGAAAATCACAGGCTATCACGTTCGAAAAAGAGAGCAATGCTCATAGAAATATAGACGAGCGTATGATGTTGGTGGAAAGGGCGATTTGGGGTTCCATGGCCTACGAGGCCAGCAAGTTTAGTTAGTTGGAGCTTATTTCCAGCGGCTACTTAACCTTTTTAGGCCATGAAATTTACTTTTTTTTTCTTGCATGATAACAGAGGATAATTCACAGATTTGTAACGATTGCAAGGTAGTTTCACTAGACCTTCAGCAGAGAAAGAGAAGGTGAAACTGCCCTATGAACCTCTCCAAGTGAGGCGTCATGTCCATATTGAAGAAGTGCCAACTTACTTAGAAATAGATCCCGCTGATTTTTGTGAGTAATCCAGAACATGCAGGCTAACGTGAAGAGAACAGCAACAATTAAAAGTGATTTGAGAAGGAATAGTTGTGAAGAAGGACGATTTGGGAAGATTATTTTTGCTGCTAATGGTGTCGACATGGTACACACTCCCAGAATACGGAATTTAATAAAATGGTACTACTACTGAGCAGAGCTGTGAACAAAACATATTCCCCCAACATAAATGACTGTTGATAAAAATCGTTCCGTCCAGCCACAGAGTATTTTGGCATAAATGACAGAAAGAATTAGTGCCACGGTAATCCAGTGTAAAAAAAATCCAATTACAGCGTAATGCTTTTCACATCCAATCCAAAATGTTACAAGTTATTACTCCGTGCTGACCAGTGTTCAGCTACAGTGTGCACTTGAAGGCTTTCATGTTGAGCAAATTCAAATCCCGTTTGGTGCTTGCTTCAAACTGTGTCTGTATGAAGCTGTTCGTGTGAATAATTCGAGTCTTTGCGTAGCACTCGCACAGTTTTTCAGAAGGTGCGCCTATTTTAGAAGCTTTGCTTCTGGTTATACCTGACTGCTGCTGACCGAGCTGATGCGTGGTTGAAAGTGGTTGAGGTGTTGGATCAGGAATTCGTCGTAATGCTTTTCCAAACGCTGATCATGACGCCCATTCTGATCATGACGGTGCTCGTTGGTCGCCAAAAGCTGGAATTCAGCAACCATATTGCTGACATGGCTGGCATTCTGCTCGCTCATTTTGCCCTAGAGTACAGTGGCAATGTTGGGCATCGTGAGCCAACGAAAATTGCCCTCACAAACCAGGTTTCGTTTCCGGGTTTTCTGCGCTCTCTTCATCAGACATGACATCACTCTTCTGAAGCTGTTCACCAACATGACGATTTTGATGGGCAGTTTGAATACTCGCATCACATGATCATCAATAACGTCGTCTTCAACAAAATAGGAGTCAATTCCATTCTCTGGAGTGTGACCTAGTATAAGAATCTATAAAAGTAAGTAAAGAAGTGGTACAATTGTTAGCATCCATGTTATTGATCAATAATCAATAAGAGGTGTTGAAAACCAAATCAAAAGACACAACTGTGCGAAAAAAAAAAAATTCCGTTGTGCTCACAACATTTCCCATGCGTTGTAGCGTGCGTTACTGCTGTCC